TCACCTCACCTCACCTCACCTCACCTCACCTCACCTCACCTCACCTCCTCGTGGGAGCTGTTCTTATCTGCAGAGGAAAAATTCTTTTCTTATTCTCTCCAACCTTCCTCAGTCTACTTCTCCCTCCAAACCTAGACTTGATCTCTTTATGCCCGTGTGCAGAGCCCTACACTGGCCTCTTAACCTCCAGAATAGTCAGTATTTGTGACCAGTTAGAAAAGCCCCACCTCAGTCACCACCATCCCCCACCCCTTACCCTGAGATGATTACTCTTGTCTCCGCAGAGCCTGGCCTCAGTCTCTTTCCCATTGGCTGTGAGCCCATTCCACCATTTGCTCTTCTCTTTCCAAGGCCTGCCTATCCCTCCAGGCCATTTCAAGTGTCTGCTCCCCAAAGCCTGCCTCTGTTGTTGGGCAAGTAACACCCTCTGTGCCATGACATTTTGTAGCCCCACTCCGTCCATAATGTCCTGTACATGGACCCTGACATACTTATTGCATTAAGATCTCACTCCGGTGCCTAATACAAGTCAGCTGAGAATGGTGCAATAGCAGCTTGGTGTAGCAAGCAGAGCATAGAGAACAGTTAATTTTAGGCAGTCTTAGGAAAATGAGCAAGAGCTGTGAAACAATTGTTTTGTTGGTAAGATTTCCTGTTTTGTTTGGAAAAGCAGCTTTTGTCTTAAAGTTTGCTGAATAAAATGAAAAAAAGTTTCTTGTTCTTATTAACTTCTGGAGAGGAATATATTTTTATAAAGGCCTACCAACCTGAGAGCGGCAGCCCGTGAAGGTTTACTCCCGAACCTGCATGTATTCAAAAAGAACAGGCTTGCACCCTCTAAGCAGCTCTGGCTACCCACTGTGTACTCAGTTTAGCCTTGGCAGCAGCAAGCCACAGACTGGATTTTTTTTAGATTTGTAAAATGGGTAGCTATTTCATGACATCCTGCTTGTACTCTGTAAAGTTGTGTGTACGCTGACATTGTCACGGTTACCCTAGGAAGAATAATGAGGAATAAAGACGTTTTAAAACACACATATTTAAACAGCAGCTCAGCTGACATGGTTAGAAATAAAGAAAGAAGAAGCAACCAAAACAGTTGCACTTCAGGAGGAAAAATTTAAAGAAAATTCTGTTTTGCCTGTGCTTGAAAGAAAAAAAAGGAAGGAAAACTTGGGGAGAGATAAGTAATAGCAGGCCATCTGACTGTTGGCAGTTGGCAGTGTCAGGTCTCATGGGAAGAGGTAAAGAGTGGTTAAGAGCATCTGGAGTTATTTCAGAGCAAGATGGGATGAGTGCAGTGAGCCCTCTAAACGACACTCCCTTTTGTGTGTGATTGCTCTTTGACATGCAAATAAGCATAGGTCCTCTATTTAACCTTGGAGCAACTGTACCTCTCCTAGAACTAAGATGATGCCTCTGTTGCCCATTTATGAAGAGGGGGTTCATTTTTTCCCACTAGGTTTTTGCCTGGGAATGTGCATGTCTTGTGCATTGTCATCTTTTGAGCTGTTAATTGGGCTAGCTGTTAGCTTAACCTCATGTTGGTTGGTAGAACAGTCTCAGGAGGCCCATGTTCCATTTGTTAGTGTTTGAACTTTAGTCCACTGTTCTGGAGTTGATATTCTGAGTGTTTCTGCCTTTCTCTCTCCCTGCTTGTTGCTTCCCCTTTTCTGGTTTGTACTATGATTAATCATTGAAGTGTTTGTGTTTACAGGGTGGATGTGTGGACTCGACAAACCAAAGTCTAGCTCTGCTGCTCATGACCCTTGGACAGCAGGACGTTTCCAAAGTCCTGCTGGGACCACTCTCCCCCTACACGTAAGCTGTTTCTGTTTGACCTCATTACTCTGCTCAGTTTTGTTTTCTGGTTGTCCAGAATGACAAGGATGTGCTGTGGGTAGCTGCTTGTATTGATTTTTAACCAGCCTGCATTTGCAACTGTTAGCCTGGTGTTTATTTATTCACACATGGGTTTGGGCCTTTCCTTCTTTCCTTTACAGCTGTTGTCCTCATGTTATATGAGCTATATCATATACACTGGACAGTTCTGTGTTTGTACTTTATGTTTTATTTCTATTCTAGAAATAAACTTTTATATAGCTTGAAGTTTTTTCACTCCCATCTTTCCACTAGCGTTCTTACTGTGGGAAATGGGTTGTTTTTCCAAGGGTATTTATTGTGTATTGGTTGGCTGGAAGAGATAAAGAGAGGCAAAATTCATAGGAATGTTACCAGACCTGTTGGGAGTTACAGAGGTGAGTTTGGGCAGTTGCATATAAGCAGAAATTACCTGCCAGGGTATAAAAACATGCACACTCCAAGAACAGTAAGTAGTTACAGAGTGCAAAGCACAAAAGCATTTCTGGTCAGGGAAACCATGTGTGTGTGTGTGTGCGCCCACACATGTAATGTACATGCACTTACATGCTTACAGACTTAAGATAGCTGTATAGTCAGCTAGCGGTGGTAAATTGGGTTCGGGCTGGTAGATCGGAGACTGAACTGTCCTTTTTCGGTTATCATGGTACCGATGCTGTGTATCTGAAAGGTACAGTACTGTGATAACTGAAGAATGGTGGTGCCATCACATTGAGAGGGGGCCTTTGGGAACCAGAGGCTTGAAAGAGATCCTTTTACTTTTGGAGTTGGTAGTGGGAGTTGTTTGGAACAGAACATGAAAGTGAATACACTCTGTTATCAGCAGATCACACTGATAAGCAGGGCATGAAGAGCCACAGATGATCTCTTGATAATGGGTATAACGTGTTTGACAGGACAGGAAGCCTAGTGTTGAGTAATCCAAATAGCCTGCTAACTTCAGAAGTCCACATTGCTCAAACAGAAGAAAGAGCACAGAGCATTCAGAGAGGAGGTGGGCGGTGAGCACAGCACCCAAGGTGCAGGATTCCATCAGAGCTGCTGGCAGCAACTGGTGGCTGTGAGAGCACCCTGGGACTGTTGGCTTCTGAGTGGGTCAGTGCTGCATCCAGCTTCTGCTCCAGGGCAGCAGAGACCCCGTGGCTCTCTGGAGACGGTGAGAACCACTGTCTTCAAATGTGTGTGGTCCAGGGCTTGGGTCTTGGCAGAACATCGTGTTAACATGGAATATATGTGTTTTTTTTTTTTTTTTTTAATTGAATTTTTTTTAAGTTGTTTTTGGTGAGTTTTTCAGTTCTGCTCTGAGGCCTTGTATAAACTTTTAATGTCTGCAGCCTTTCTGGAGATGGCTGGATGTGACTGTTCCTTCCTCAGCATGTCCCTCATCACATAATCTATTTAGGTTTCTTTTCTTCTCCCAGAAACCTAAAACTACTGCACCTCCTGGGAAAACAATGATCTGCTCCGAGAGGACCTTTAGAAGAGTAGACCAGATGTGGGTGTGAGGCCTGCTCCTTCCTCTGGGGCTTTCTGCAGAGGGCTCTTCATGGGGTGGAGAAGCACACCCCATCACCTCTGCCATACACGTGTCCCACCTGCCCCAAGCACTTTTTGGTGTAAGCAAGCACAGACTCAGGGTGGGGGGCCGGATTTTGTTCAGCAAAAGCATCTCTATGGTTGGGGCCTTTTTGTCCTTAGTCTTGTGGAAGGCCCCAGCATCTCAGTAAGATGAAGGATGAACATGGGACCTTATGGGCATAATTGGCATCTCCTGTGAGTGAGGCAGGCTCCATGACTCATCACGGGGTTTCGGGGAGTACCATGTGCATCTTCTTGTGCTGTTGACGTCATGGAGACACCATTTTTTGGACCTCAGGAGAAATTTTTAGTTTGAGAGAAGCATGCATATTTTTCCTGGAGCTTACATGTGTTTGATGCGCATAGCATCTTAAGTGCCATCTAGGAAGCATCAGGACTAAGAAAGTTTTCTCTCCGTGTTCAGGCCCTTGCTGGGAAGTGACGGTTGCTGTGTTCCTCCTGCCTTGCTCTCCCTGTTACTTATAGGAGGTTGCTGTTTGGTTCCTCTGCACTATTAGAGAAAATGACTACACGTGTGAGCTTTGTGAGGCCAATTTTTCTCAGTTGAATAAAGTGTTGGATGCTGTAGGCGTGTGAGGAGAGCCTCCCTTTCTTTTCAACTTGAATATTGTTGGCTTATAGGTGAGGACATGTTTCTACCCTGTGGCCCAGAAGCTTAATTTTACTGTTAACTGAGAAAGTGTACTTTATTGTACACTTTTTTATATTGTATAGTTGAAGTAACATCAAAAAAATCAAATATATATCCATATCAGTATATGTATCGACACACACATCAATCATCAGGCAACTTAAAGTGCTCAGAAATCGCAGGAGGAGGTCAAAGCTAGCAGACTTCAGTTTTCTTCCTGTGCATAGGCCTTGAAATCCAACCTGTCTAGACTTAAGTTCTGTTTATGCCACAGAGCCACCAGGGGAGGCTGATGCTGAGCATCTCTGAGCCCTGTCAACGTGATGATTCTGAAATCCTCAGCCGTGAAGAGGGACTGAAGTGTGATGGTCAGATGCTTAGCAGCGTTCATGGCACCATATCCAAGGAACTCAGGTCCTCCCTGGATACCCCTCTTCTCATCGTGTCCCTGTGTGCCAGGAGCTGAACTTACAAGTCAGCTGTGCACTGGCTCTTGAGCTGTCTATAAATCTGTAGCTATGACTTGTAAAATTGTAGACACTCCGGAACAAACTGTACATTCTGGTTTGTTCTTCCCCAGAATTGAGTAGGTAATGTTTGCTTAACAGATACGGTGTTTACTGTGAGTAGGACAGTTGTGTGATTGGTTTTGGTTTTTGTTTTTCTGTCTGTGGTATTAGTGATCAAACCTAGGGCCTTGTTATTTAGCCAAGCAAGAGCTCTACCACTGAGCTGAGCAGCCTCAGTTCTCAGAGAATCCTTTTTTGCAGTTATATAGACAGTTATGAGGTGCCATGTGGGTTCTGGGAGCTGAACCCAGGTTACGAGTTGAACTCGTAAACACTGAGCCGTCTCTCCAGCCCTAATCCTCTTTTTTATTATTATTATTATTATTATTATTATTATTATTATTATTATTATTATTATTATCTTATTTTTCGAAATTACAATAGAATTGCATCATTTCCCCCTTCCCTTTCCTTCTTCCAATCCCTCCCATGTCTCCTTCCTTGCTCTCTTTCAAATTCATGGCCTCTTTTTCCATTAATTGTTGTTACATATATATGCATGCATACAAACATACATACAAGCATATACATACTCCTAAATACATTAATGTAGCTTGCTCAGTTGTTATGATGTTACTTGTGTGTGTGTTTTCAGGGCTGACTATTGGATAGCCAGACAATGTGCCCTTCCCTGGAAGAATCTTTTCCCCTTGCTCTCAGCATTCCTTAGTTGCCTCTAGTTCTTTGTATAGGGTTGAGGCCTTGTGCGCTTCCCCACCCCTTTCCCAGTGTAGCTTCTGACATTCGAGACACAATCTCTCAGCAAACTCTCTGATCCTTCAGCTCTTAAAATCATTACACACACACACACACACACACACACACACACACACAAATCTGCTTCCAAAATGTTCCCTGAGCCTTAAGTTGTACAGGAGTTGTAGGCATCTCCATCCATTGGGACTGGGCTCCACAACTCAGCATTTTAATTGACTGTGGTTTTCTGTAATGATCTCCATCTGCTGCAAAGAGAAGTTTCCTTGATGTGTGAGGACCACACTTATCTGTGGGTATAAGGACAAATATTTGGTTGTGGTTGTTGGCATACTTTTTAAATCTATTTTATTAGGATTCTTGTACCTCTATCTCCCTTCCACCCCATATTCTTCCATCACCCCAACACCAGGTAGGAGAAACAGAAGGTTAGTGGGGAGATAAGTCATTGAGATCTTTTTAGACTTCCTGCTGGTTAGGGGTGTTGAGTTCCTTGGGCAAGTCCAATCTTCATCTCGTTGGCATATCTCCAGTTTCTTCTTATCTCTTTTTCTCTCATGACTACTTGACAAACCAGCAAGAGCAGGAACCAGTAGTAGGAATAGCCACGCCTCCTCACCTGGGGGCTCTGGTCTTTATACTCTCTCTAGAGTGCTAAGAATTAAACTTTCTGCAGTTGGCTCTACCAGAGCACACACGAGGCAAGTAGTCTGCTGCTGTGGACAATCTGAAGCAGCCCCACATCCCACGCCTGGGAATAAAACAAAAACATGTTTACATAACATACCTGAGTTTGTAAAGACACCAAAACTCAGTATAGTAGGTTCTCCTCCAAGATCCACAATCTCAGTAGTCCTGGGTTTTCACTACCAGGCATGATTTCCCTCATGTGAACAGAAAGATAAGTTATTTCAAATCTTCTAACACTGGCTTCCAACGTAACCCCGTGTGAGTGAAAAAGTCATTGCTCTTGTGTGGGTCATCTTAGTGATAAGACATGCCGCTTGCCAAGGTCACACAGGGACAGATTCACTGGAGTTAAGCTCCCTTTACCACTGTGAGCTTAACCAAGAGCTGGGACCTGTCCCTTGTCGCTGGCTTCTCAGGGCCTTGCTGATGTGGAGTACCATGCTGCAGCTTTGAGGCTTCCTCATCTCAGCTTCTGCCACACCGTAGAGCAGGATGTTTTTCTCCCTTTAAACTAATAATAAACTAATAACTTCTTTCCTTTAGTTATGTGCTGGTGTGTAGACAGCCCTTGCCCTTCAACCTCAGCTGCTCAGGGCTTCCTGGCTCAGCCAGCCAAGCACACCCATGTGACTGCCATCTGATTATGGGCTTTGCTGCCTTCTGGGAACTTTGCAGTGTCACTTTCTGCCTTCCTTTTGTGAAGTGCAGAGAAAGTCACAATGCCCTGTCACACTTGATAGTGCAACCTTAGAAAATGGATTATAGTAAAATGAAGTGATACCTGCTTGTGGTGAGTGGTTGGCTGAACTCAGCCTGAGATTCCTGTGTGCCAGCAGTACAGCCAGCCCATGTCTGTTTCCTGTTGCCTCTAACCAAGCTTAATAATGTCATTCTTGGAGTAGGGTTGGAGTGTTGCTGGCATCAGACACATCACTGGGCTCAAAAGCTGCTGTACTGACTACAGGGGACCATGTGAAGCAGTCTTTCTTTGCTCTCAGAGCTTGTCCCTCAGCCTCCAGGGACAACTCCTTACACTAACCTTTGGAAATACACAGATGATTATCTGCTTCCAGAATGCTCTGAAACCTGCTTGTCAGATAAACTGGAGGCTTTCATAGGAAAGTCTTACTTGTTTTTATAGAATCACTTTTCCTGAAAAGTAATTGTGTGTGTGTGTGTGTGTGTGTGTGTGTGTATGTGTGTGTGTGTGTGTATATATATATATATATATATATATATATATATATATATATATATATAAAATCATTGCAGACTCAGTTATCAAGTGAGGGATTAAGATCATTTACTCAGAAGCTGCATAAAACTCCAGTTGCTGCAAGTGGCTTAGCTATAAGAGAAACTGCTTGCTTGCTTTCCCTCTCTCCCCCTTTCCCCTTCTCCTCCTCCCTCCCTTTTCCCCTACCCTTCTCCCTCCTGCCTGCCAGCCTGCCTTCCTCTACCCCCCCTGCCCCTCCCCCACCCACCCACCCACCCACACACACACACACACACACACACACAGGGTTTCTCTATATAGCCCTGGCTGTCCTGGAACTGTGTAAACCAGCCAAGCCTGGAACTCAGATATCTCCCTTCCTTTGCCTCCCAAGTGCTGGGATTAAATGCGTGTTTCTCTTTCTTAAG